GATTTAAGCCCATATATAGATTTGCACATGTTATAAAACCACATATACTCAAACTTTAAATTATGAAAAGTCCCATGAGCCTTTGCCGCCTGAGCATATGTTGAATTTTCTCCATGTCCATGGGCTGAAATAAAAAAAAAATGTGGGCAAACACACTGGCTGCTATCATAAAAAAAAATAAAACAACTTTACTTAAAAAGTATTTGCATTTCTTAAATTACTGCGTTTGGCCCACGGACTTCAGATTGATTATAATTTTGGCCCTCTCAGGGAAAATGTTTGGGCACCCCTGTTCRAGGGGTTTCTATGGCACGTTTAAAGTTCTAACCCTGTATGTGGGTTTTTTTGCGCTAAAACACGCTCACACTTTAAATGGTTTGCTTTAAATTCATCATAGTGATGCACAATTATGATTAAAGCTTTTTGCAAAGTTGGGAGTATTAAAACATTTTTATTTATTATGCTGACATGTCCTTTCATGGGGTCTCTCGTGTGTCTCGGGGAGCAAAACCATAACGGGTTCATCACGTGGATCTGTTTACGTCTGGAGTCATTTCTGGAATACAGTGATTGACAGACGTTTCGTCCAATCGGGGGCGTCGAGTTTAGAGCCTCGCGTGAAAGAAGAAAGAAGCTAACCGTGTAGGATTAAACAGTAGTAACATTTATGCTCATACGCGTTACGATCCATCCATATTTCTCGAGGCTGCCCATGTTGCTTTATACGACGCGCAGTAAAGGAGAGCAATGTCGCTGAACGCAGCTGATTGTCGGGAAAAGACGAGGCTACAAGCGAATTTAAAGGTAAACACCCAGAGGTTAGCTGCCGTCGTTAGCCTGATGCTAACGAAAAGGACACTGCGCTGGTCGCTACCTGCAAGCTTTTTTAAGTGTTTACACTAATTTGTTTGTATGTGCTGCTACATAAAGGTGTTTAACTTATTGTTACTGACGTTACTGTATAAATTGTTTATCCCACCCAGATCAGCTGTATTCTGACGTGCTCTACAGTGTTTGTCATGCAATTAATTCCTTTATGTTTTTTTTATTCATCTCAGTTTTCTCAGAAAAATGTGATCGTTGTCACTTGATGCTGATTTCATTACTACGGTTATGAAATATGTTGCTTTCACTTCCTCATTGGGGCTTTTAGTTATAATGGGAAAACTCAAATCTCAGCAGGGCTGCTTTGCTACGTAGTTTCTCTTTTATGGCTGCTTTTAGAGCTTTCCTTTGAAATAAAAGTAAGGACAAGTGAAATTCTTGATTTATTGATTCCCAAAACTGGGTTCGGGACACTATCATTAAACACCTATTGGGGGGGTGCTGAGATGATCACCATAAAAAGGTATTTTTCTGCCTTAAATGTTTACAGAGGCAAAACAACAATTGTTTTAAAAATGATCAAGCTGTTAAATAAAATATATGCTTGTCTGCTCCTTTACTTACTTTTCTGTGCAA